AGGATGTTATTTTTTTAATACTGAAATTATGAATCAATCATTGTTAGACTACCATTAGAAACCTGCAAGCACTGAAGGACGGCCGTTCCGTCCTAGTATGCGCATCCACGACTCCTGCACCTCGCTGGATTCCAACCCGGGACATTTGGGATTGTAGGCGAACGCCTTACCATCGGACCACTGGGCCGGTATCCAACAGTGTTAATGTCTAACTCTGATTGATCTAGGGATTTTGCTCTACCTCACCCATTTGTCTTTGGTAGTTACTGCCTACATCCGACAGGGTTGAACTCCACTGGTCAAGTCTTCTCAACTAGAACTCCGAGAATTTCCTCACGAAGCTAGTCACTAGTGAGCACTGTTACGATATTTTGGGGCACAGTTTTGGAGGTTTGCGTTTTTACACATTTGAAATCATCAATCAATCATTGTTAGACCACCATTAGAAACTTTCAAGCACTGAAGGACGGTCGTTTCGTCCTGCTATGAAACTCACCAACGACAGTGAGCAGCCACGAGTGATGCTACTCGCAGGATTCGAACCCACAACCTTCGGTCATGCGCGCAAATGCCCAAACGCTGGACAACTGGGCAGGCATCCAACTTTGTTAATGTCTGACTCTAATCAAACTAAGGATTTGGCGCTACCTCATCCACTGTTCTTCAGTAGTTACTGCCTACACCCAACAAGGTTGAGCTCCACCGGCCACGTTTTCTCACTAGAATCCCTAGAATTTCCTCACGAAGCTAGTCACCAGTGAGCACTGTGTACGATTTTTTCAATTAGATTTATAGAGATTGTTGCTTATTACTGAAACCATGATTACCACTGTTCTTAAACCACTGTGAGAAACTTGGGAGCACAGTACGGCGTTCTCGAGAGCGAGGATAGTGGATGCGCACTGCCACTGATGAGACTCATTCTAGGATGAAACGGTTGTCTACATTGCTTCCAAATTTCCAGTGATAGTCTAACAATGCTCAATACATGATTCTGAATGTAAAACAACATGGTTTTGTGATAAATTCTATGCGAATAAATCAGAGTCATGTTGGTAGATGTAGGCTACCTGGTTGGGATTCGCGAGACGATAGTCACCGATGGTTAGAGACCTTACACGACATGGCTCGGAATCGTTTGCAATGGAGCAGGTGCATCCACTCTTTGTGTTCTATGAAATTCTAAGCATCTGCATTCCTCGTAATCTCTAACTTTCTCCTTCTAAATTTATCTTACTGAATTATACTTCTTGAATCATATCTTCGCTCCCTAATCTTATCCATTACTGTTAATACTTCTATTATTGCTATCACTCTTGGATTTGAACTGACAGTTGCGTTTCTGTGATGTTGGGGCATGGCAACCTGAACTCATGTACGTACATACTAAGTTCTGCATTGTATCTGTCTGAATAAATCAGTTAACAATAGGAATATTGCAAAATTTTAAATTTAAGCCAGTAGAAAATATTCATTTTTATTGGTTATTTGAATTTTCCCGTAGATAGTTAGGAGTTCAGTTGACCAATCTCATTCGGCATATATACATACTCTATGGATTGCCCATGAATCGCAGACATTATGAAAAGAGATGGATAGTGGCTGTCAGTAGGATCCTAGATGAGGGTTTCGTCCTCTTCGGAACTCTTCAGCTGGTTGAACCTACATACCCAGTGTTTTGTTATTCCCTACGAGACTCAAACTCAGTACTTCTAGCTCAGTGGATAATACAATGGCAGTTGAGCTGAACAGTCCAGGGTTCTAAGCCCTGGCTGGAGTGATCACTATCTCCAGGATGCAGATTCATCCTGCTGACGAGTTCCGACTAGGTCAATCTATACTTTATGGAAAAATATATATATATTACTAAGAAATTTAATCATTCACTTACTTGTAATTGATTAGTATACTTTTTAGTACTTGAATCTTGAATACGTCTACCCATTACCAACCATTTTTGATTAGGCAATGAAGAAGCCAGACGTCCACTTGTAAATGGTAACAATGGACTGCAAGATGAACAACTTAAAACCAATTCGGTAATACCATCTAAATCATGAAGTCGTGAATTTCTTGGTCGTCGACGTCGTTTCCTGTTAGTCTTCTGTTCATGCGTGTTTATTGATTTCGGTGTGATCAAATACTTGGATTGATATTGATCAAGATGATGATTATTGGTGCGTGTCTGTTTTGATATTTTCAAATCTCTCACTGTTCTTAATTGATAAATACGACCATCGTCGTCATCCTGTTTATGATGCCGATTATTCCTTTTTCTTCGACTATTCCGTTTACGGCGATATTGATCGATACTGCTCAACTGAGTACCATCATTGCGTATAAGTTTTAATGCCAATGTACGTGGTGTTAAATTCAATATGATTGAAGCTTGATTCGGTTGTAAGATCATATCTTTAACGGAGGCTTTGAGAACTAGAATCAAAAATCAATAAACGGATGGTTGAACAATTTCTATGCTTATGATTACTTTCCTCATGATCTCTACAATAAAGGTTAATTAATCAGGAAGAAGCGGTGGAAAGGATAGGACACACATTCGGGAAAGCATCCGACTGCATCAAGGAACTAGAAGGGAAGGTCGAGAACGGAGTAATTTGGAGAATGCCAGTCGGTGGTCTATGCTCCACCGGGGGGTAACAGACGTCAGTATGTAAGTTACATGATATTTTAGAGGTGTCAATGTTTCTACAAAATTGGAGAGGTGTTAAGTTTGATTTTGTGCATGATAGTGGTTCGATATTACTGAAGAGCGCTAAGTATAAAATTAGAGTTTCACATTGTTCTCTTTATTGAATCATTATATGACTAGATACATAAATCTCCTTAAAAAAACGCCCAGTTAGAATTGCTATAGTTATTTACTACTGAAATGACTACTTAAAGGATGAAATGTCTTTACACGGTGAAATCATCAATCAATCATTGTTAGACCACCATTAGAAACCTGGATGCACTGGACGGCCGCTTCGTCCTGGTATGGGACTTATCAGTGGCAGTGCGCATACACGACTCCTGCATCTCGCAGGATTCGAACCCGGGACCTTCGGTATTGTGTGCCAATGCCTAACCATCGGATCACTGAGCCGGCATCCAACGTTGGTAATGTCTAACTCTGATTGATCTAGGGATTTTGCGCTACCTCACTCATTTGTCTTTGGTAGTTACTGCCTACACATACCCGACAGGGTTGAACTCCATTGGTCACGTCTTTTTATTTAACAATGATTGGTACAAAGAGGCTCATAATTATATTTATGCTTAACACAAATTATTGGATTTGTGGATGAGCCGAGATACTGCCTAGACGCCTAAATCAAACCAGGTAGCTTCCCAAGTGAGCCACTGTTTTAGCCTCTGACTCAGAAATCTAATCCACAAGGCAGTCGTGCAATGTTAAGCGATGCAGTCTCATGGTATTCGGTGATGAAGAATAGCCGCATACACCATTTATTCCCTGAGGATGCTGTAATCCATTTACAACAGTGGTTTAGAATGCAGGGTTGCCAAATTCACCTAGCTGGATCCTCACTTAGTTACTTGTGCCTATTACTCCTTACATAGCATATTCTGGACCTTCCTTTCCAGTTCTATCCAACTGATGTCTGATTCCATTTCTTGCTGTAATGCGTTCCTTGATCTACCTCTTTATCTTTGGCCTCGAGGATTCCATCGTAGGACTAGCTCTGTGATGCAGCTGAATTCTATGAACCCCAATATCCGGTCAAATCGCTGAACATTCGCTTTCCGCCTTCTCAATCTCGTAAACAACATCCGTTCCACGGAAATTTAGTGAACAAGAGTACCTCGACAGTGGCCATATATGAGTGCGGGAGAACAATCCCTTACGGACCGTTCAAACGCCTTGTTGACAAGTACCAAAACAGCATGAAACCTAGGTCAAGTAGGATTCTCTGTCGAACACCTCCTAATGAACTATAATGAGCCGTTTAACAAACTAAACAATAGACAATATGAGTTTGAATCTCATAAACAACATTTCTACTTGGTGATTACTAACTAACTAACATGAAACTTGACTCAAGAATCGATCCATGCAATAATTAGAACCGATGTAATGTAAAAACGCACAGTTTACTAACAAAATGTGTACACCTGGCAATCTTCCGACTTCCATTTACAAAAACAAGCAGATTGTCAGCTATCTTCTTCAATATATGTCCTTGTTTTCAAAATCCTCTGATCTCGTCATGTCGTTCTGTGGATCTGACACTCTTCTCTTCAACGGTAACTTCTGTGTGACACTCTACTGCATAGTTTCAAAAGTATTGGATAGCCATTTCATTTCTAATGATGGTCTAACAATAGTCTATCGATTTATGATTTCTAGGAAAACTTGACAATCTCAACAAACCTTTTATTGATAATGTAACATGGTGTGAAAGCATAACCTGGATTCGATTCAGGCGCGTGAGGTTGGTGCATGCTCACTACTGACGAGTCTCATACTAGGACGAAACTGTCGTCCAGTGTGCTTCCAGGTTTCTTAATGGTAGTAGTCTAACAATGAATGGTTGATTGACGATTTCAAAGAACAATACATATTTTTATTTACGAATGAACGTTTAACTTGATATTACATAGAGTTTAGCAGAGATTATAACTAAAGATTAGAAATGTTAATTAGTCATGTATCTCTTATAAAATGCGGTTATTTTTCTGACATGAATAAAGTGGGTAAAGATTATCGAATTGAACCATGAAACCAAATTAATTAACATTCATATTTATGCATAGATTTTATGTAAATTCTGCTTCAAGCATTGTCTAATAAGGCATCAGTTTTTTTGTGTGAAGTAAAAAATTAGTTTAAACTAGAAAAAAATATGTTCTTCAATGTTTAGTATGTTTTGACAAATATTTGACATTGATCACTGACTAATTGATATGTAAAGAGGTGGTTGGAGATAGTCTGGAGCCCCTGAAGGGGCTACTCTTGGTCCCAAGCCCGGACAAAGAAGGAGGGTTGAGTGTAGGGTTGGCGACCCCATCCCGAAGGAAACCTCAAAATCCTGTGGTACTGTAAAGAGGGGGAAGAATCAGCTCTTCCTCTTCGAAATCTTACCACATGGCCACATGTGTACTGTCAACAGGATGAAAGTTGTATTGACTGTGTTCTTGGGATACGTGTATCGCTTACGAAATCGAGATAACGAAATGTGAATGTCCAGTGCTTAAACCGGTTGACGGTTACGAGGTATTCATCTACAGCAGTTGGAAAACCCTTATTCCAAACTAATGGTGCACATGGATTCCAGTATTCTGAAGAAAGAAGTGTTGTAAGAGGCCATCTTTCGTCACGGGAGACCATGTGACTACATGCTCTGTTATTGCCTCATTGACTTATGGTTTAGACCTGTAGGTCAAAGGTTTGGTGAGTAGCTCGTCAAGGAAACCACCTACCTGGGTTCGAGCACCCGCGTACTGTCCTAGCCCCCCACTCAAATTGATTTGTGTGACGTATAAATATTCATGTGCCACTTTGTACCAATACTAGGTTCCAGCGGAGGAAGAAATCTGGAAGAAGCGCTGGAAGTGGATAAGACACACATTAAGGAAAGCACCCAACTGAGATACAAGATAATCTCTCACTTGGAATCCTCAAAGCCAATGGAAAACAGGGAAGCCAATCAACGCATCACAGTGAGAAATGGGGTCAAACATGAGAACAATGAAGAATAATTGGACAGAACTAGAAAGAAAGGCTCAGGACAGAGTAGCTTTCAGAATGTTGGTCAGCGGTCTATCCTCCATTGAGGGTAACGGTTGTAGGTAAGTAATTACGTAGGCTTTGTACCAATAATTGTGCGTTTAAATAAATATAATATTGTAAAACCGTGAACTTAGGTTTTATGCTGTTTCAACACTCATCAGCAAGGTGTACATGCAATCTTAAAGTCAGTCACAGCCAGATAGCTTGATAATTACGTCCCTGATTGGATGACGTGGAGTTAAGTCTATGTAGCCGATACCTAACAATAAATCAGCCTTATATCTGACTATTCGAAAGCTTAAATCTTGATCGACCAGGCGAATGGGTCACAATGCCTACATTACACTCTCCTATAGTTGATATTTCAAACAAAATATCAAAAATTGCGTTTTATCTTATGAGTTTTATAACCGATTGTTCAAGATGGACAATAACACCTTTAAATGTCGGTTTAGTGGTCTAGATGCTAAGCATTCACCAGCAAAATCGAAGGTCTTTCGTTTGGATCCTGCCTGAGAGGTCGTGGTTGCGTCCTACTACTGATTCGTTCCATACTAGGCCGAAACGGCTGTCCTAAACGAATTTCAACGAAGCATTATCTACCACCTAAATCAATATTAGTGTATGTATAGAAGATTACCTCAGAAAAAAAACTCAATCGATACTTACCTACATCAGCCATACAATAACTACTGGCAATATTTTCTAATGTAATAGCTTGTTCACATGGAACACAAGTTACAGCTGAAAAATAAATGGAAAAACAGATTGAATTTAAATAAGAAAGTTTGGCGCAAAGTTTTGGAGGTTTGCGTTTTTACAAATTTGAAATCATCAATCAATCAAATGTGTAAAAACGTAAACCTCGAAAACTCTGCCCCGAAATATTGTAACAGTGCTCACTGGTGACTAGCTTCCTTGAGGAAATTCTCGGAGTTCTATTTGAGAAGACGTGACCAATGGAGTTCAGCCCTGTCGGGTGTAGGCAGTAACTACCAAAGACAAATGGGTGAGGTCGCGCAAAATCCCTAGATCAATCAAAGTTAGACATTAACACCGTTGGATGCCGGACCAGTGGTCCGATGGTAAGGTATTCGCCTACAATGCCGAAGGTCCTGGGTTCGAATTCTGCGAGGAGTAGGAGTCTTGGATGCGCACTGCTGATGAGTCCCATACCAGGACGAAACGGCCGTCTTCCAGTGCTTCCAGGTTTCTAATGGTGGTCTAACAATAATTGATTGATGATTTCAAATGTGCATAAATGAAAAAAATTGTCAATTTTATTAAAAGAATACTTTAAGGACATTTTCATTGATTACTGAAAGTTTCTTATTCGCTCGCGAGAATGAAAGTTCTATGTTCAATTCTCGTGTGCCAAAGTCTTGAATGCGCACTACTGACGAGTCCCTCACCAGGACGAAAATAGCTATCCAGTATTTTCAAGTTTCTAATAGTCAATTAGCTAAGATTAGTTCGTGATTTAAAATACAGACATAACACAATATTCACAAATCTCTTTCATTTCTGTATACGTATTTATATACCACCTACTACCTCGCAGAGTGATGTTTTATGGTGTAGGAATGGGCTAGAAAAAATCTAGAGGCGGCCAGACTAAAAACATGGCACAAATACATGAAGTCACTGACAACTGGATTGAGTCATGTTAGTAACTATAAACCACTTGGTTGGAGTCCGCAAAGCGATAGTAACCGATGGTTGGAGACCTTGAACGACATGACTCAAAATCGTTTTCACTGGCACATTCTTGGTGTTTTTCCGAATTCTAATCTTCTGAATTCCCCATCATCTCTATCATTCTCTTTTTAAGTTTATTTCACTGAATTCTACTTCTTGAATAACATCTTTGAAACCTAATCTTCTTCATTACCTCTGATACTTCTAACACGTCTACTACTATGGAATTTTAAATGACTATTGCATCTCTCTGTACGAGAAAGCATTCGATAGCGTGGATAGGAAAACACTGTGGAGGCTTCTTCGACACTACGGTGTGCCTGAGAAAGTAGTTAACATCATACTGAATTCTTATGATGGATTCAACTGCGAAATTGTACACGAAGGACAGCTCACAGACTCTTTCGAGGTGAAGACCGGTGTCAGGTAAGGTTGCTTACTCTCACCCTTCTTTCTCTTTCTCCTGGTCATCGACTGGATTATGAAGACGTCGACATCTGGAGGGAAGCACGGTATCAACTGAACACTTAGGACGCAGCTGGACGATCTGGACTTCGTAGATGACCTGGCTCTTCTATTGCACACACGCAACAACAAATGCAAGAGAAGACGACCAGTGTAGCAGCAGCAGCCTCTGCAGCAGTAGGTCTCGACATAAATAAAGGAAAAAGCGAAATTATCCGATGCAACAGAACATGCACCAACCAAATCACTCTTGATGGAGATGCCTTGGAGGACGTTAACACGATTACTTATCTTGGCAGCATCATCGACGAGAAAGGTGGATCGGATGCAGATGTGAGGGCGCGGATTGGCAAAGCGAGGGCTGCATTTCTACAGTTGAAAAATATCTGGAACTCCAAACAACAACGAACCAAAACCAAAATCAGCATTTTCAATACAAATGTCAAGACAGTTCTACTGTCTTGAAACTTGGAGAACTACCAAAGCCATCATCCAGAAGATACAAGTGTTTATTAACAGTTGTCTACGCAAAATACTTCAGATTCGTTGGCCAGACACCATCAGCAACAACCGCCTACTGTGGGAGAAAACAAACCAGATTCCAGTGGATGATGAAATCAGGAAGAAGCGGTGGAAGTGGATAGGACACACACTACGAAAAGCACCGAACTGCGTCACGAGACAAGCCCTCACATGGAACCCTCAAGGCAAAAGGAAAAGTGGAAGGCCAAGGAACACATTACGCCGAGAAATAGAGAAAGATATGAGAGGAATGAACAAACATTGGACAGAACTGGAGAGGGAATTCCAGGACAGAGTTGGTTGGAGAAAACTGGTGGGCGTCCTATGCTCCATTGGGGGTAGCAGACGTAAGTAAGTAATTGCATTTCTCTGTGTGTTAATGTGATATGCCAACCTGAACTGATATACATACGTACAAAGGTCTAGGTTGTTTATAGATTATTGGCTAATAAAACTAATAACAAGTGATCTGTATGTGAATGATGAATGAACCACCCATGAAATATAAAAGAATAAAAATCAATCGATATTTACTTATCTATTTCTGCAAACGATCTATAAATGGTGTATGTACACCACTGAATGAGATTTTAGACATAAATACACACAGACACACGCACACACACACACACGAAAAAGAGGAGGAAACTGTAAATCAAAGCCAACTGGTGTATTTTAATGGGTAAACATTTTCGGAATCATTAAATCTTTGTATATTTAGTAGAAAAAAAAGAAAAAACTACTTACGGAATAGTTTTAAGTAGTAGTAACAATAATAATAATAATAATTACGCTAGTTTCTTATTAACTAACATAAATACATATTTAATCTTGTAATCAAGAATGTATCATTGTGAGACTACCATTAGAAAACTAGAAGTGTTATAAGATGGCCGTTTCGTTTTGTTACAGGACTCATCAGCAGTGTGCATTCCCCGACTCCTGCTACTAGCAGAGTTCAAGTGCGGGACGTTCGGTTTTGCGCGCGAACGCTTAACCATTGGACCACTGAGCTGGCATCCAACGATTTTTATGTCTAACTGTGACCTGTACCAGGACAAGACGGCCGTCTTTCAATACGTCCAGGTTTCTAATGGTAGTCAAACAATTACTCATTCATGGTTTCAAGATAAAAAGACCATCTCCATAATACTCTAATGCAAAAATATACGTACATACGTATTTTACTTGTGGTTATTTAATATTTTTCAGATATATAAAAGGGAATAATCAATCAATCATTGTTAGACCACCATTAGAAACCTGGAAGCACTGGACGGTCGTTTCGTCCCGGTATGGGACTTATCAGCAGTTGGATGTCGGTCCAGTGGTCCGATGGTTAGGCGTTCGTCTACAATGCCAAAGGTCCCGGGTTCGAATCCTGCGAGGAGCAGGAGTCGTGGATGCGCACTGCTGATGAGTCCCATACCAGGACGAAACGACCATCCAGTGCTTCCAGGTTTCTAATGGTGGTCTAACAATGATTGATTGATGATTTCAAATGTGTAAAAACGCAAACCTCCAAAACTGTACCCCGAAAATAAGGGAATAAGTCAGATTCGGATTGTTCTCATTAGGTTTTTAAAAGAAGAAGCTACCAGAAAAACATAAATTATAAACCTGAAAGCATTGGATGGTCGTTTCTTGCTAGTATGTGGCTCATTAGCAGTGAGTATCCATGACTCTTGCACCTCTGGATTACTGAACCAGCATCCAACATCGTTGAAATCAATCCACAGTCTTGCGTAACCTCATCTCCTATTCTCACTGTGCATTGCTACAAACCTGACAGAGTGGTCTTGGGCAAGACTGAAGGTCCTAGGTTCGTTTCCCGTGGGTGGGTGTTGCGAACAGGGATTTAGTCAGGGTCGCGGATGCGCACACCTGTAGAGTCCCACACTATGACAAAACGGCCGTCCAGTGCGTTCAGATTCACAATGGTGGTCTAACAATTATAAATTCTTGATTTCAATGAAACTCAACAATCTCCACAACCCTCTAGGGATTTTGTATATCAAAAATTTGACATATTTTTCAGTTTTTAAATTTGACAAAAGAGTTCAACCCTGTCGGGTGTAGGCAGTTACTACCTAAGACCATCGGTGAATGAGGTTGCTCAAAATCTTTAAATTGATCAGAGTTAGACGTTGAAACCGTTATATGACGGCTACATGGTCCAGAGGTTAGAAGTTCTCACGCGAGACCCGAAGGTGGTGGGCTCGAATCCTGTGAGTAGCAATACTCATAGATACGAACTGCTGATGAGTCCCATACTAGGACGAAATGACCGCCTATTGCTTCCAGATTTCTAATACTTGATCTAAGCTTGATCGATTCATGATTTCCAAACAACAAAAAAAGAGTGTGCGCACTGCTGAGGAGTCCCATACTAGGACGAAACGGCCGTCCTTCAGTGTTTGCAGGTTTCTAATGGTGGTCTAACAATGATCGATTGTTGATTTCAAATGTGGGAATTATTTACCTTGTCATCGAATGGTTATCACATTCAATTTACAATATCTATCATCGACAATCTATCACAGCAGGAGATTAAAAATGTTCAATAATAATTATCTTTTTGTCGAAAATGAAAATGACCATTATTTTTCATTCTAACTTTTTTTTTCTGATTCGGGAATGATATACAACCTACTGTGAAGATATTTTTATTTGGAAATGTGTAATGCAAAACACACAGTAGTAGTAGCAGTTAGAATGTTGATGATGATAAGACGTTTTCTATGAACATGTGTGTATGTGCGTCCATGTCCGTGTATGACTGATTAAACTTATCTACCTACATTGATACATACATACTGATGATAAGTTTTATATTCTATACATAAAATGGTCTAACTATACAGTGTTAGTTTGTTCTTACACTTACAATATAAAAAAATGTGACTTCATTCCTGTAGATTTACAATGTAGATTTTTTTGTTCAAAAAATTGATGATGAGAATTAGGGTAGAGTTTATTTAGCGTTCGTTTTTATTCATTTAAACACATCGATATCGGTATAAAAAGATAAGTAAAAAAAATTATTGAATGGATGAGTGAGT